TGTGTGTGTGTGTGTGTGTATACATAAATAGGATGGAGCAGAATGCCTCATAGGGTTTCCAAGGAGTGACTGGTAGATTCGAACTGCCAACCTTTTAGTTAGCAGCTGAATGCTTAACCACTGTGCAACCAGGTTTAGATAAAAACCAAACCTGTTGCCGTTGAGTCGACTGTGGCTATATATTGGATCCCCGGGTGGCGCAGCAGTTAAGTACTTGACTACTAGCTGAAAAGTTGGCGGTTCAAACCCATCCAAAGGCACCTCGGAAGACAGGCTTGGTGATCTGCTTCCGAAAGGTCACAGTCTTGAAAGCAGTTCTATAACCTGTTGCTGTCAAGTCAATTTTGACTTACAGTGACCTTGTAGGACAGAGCAGAACTGCCCCATAGGATTTCCAAGGAGCGGCTGGTGGATTTAACTGCTGACCTTTTGGTTAGTAGCCGTAGCTCTTAACCACTGTACCACCAGGGCTCCAGCAGTTCTATATCTGTATCTCTCTATCTATCTATATAAGGAGCCCTGGTGGCTAGTGGTTAAGAGCTACGGCTGCTAACCAAAAGGTCGGCAGTTTGAACCCACCAGCTGCTCCACAGGAGAAAGATGTGGCAGTCTGCTTCTGTAAAGATTACAGCCTTGGAAACTGTGGGGCAGTTTGGCTCTGTCCTATAGGGTTGCTATGAGTCAGAATTGGCTCAACGGCAATGGGTTTGGTTTTTTGGAAAGATATATATATATATCTTCTCTGTGTACTTCAAATAGTGCCTGGTACACAGTAGCTGCTCAAAAAATGCTTGGTGGAGGTATAAATGAGTGAATAGTGAATGAGAGGCTGTCTCACCCCTACCTGATTGTGAGTTACCTACCTTGCCTTAAAGGCAAAGACAATGACCTGTTCCTGTTTGTGTCCCCCCACACCCCACCCCACCCCCACCCAGCCCACTAGTACCTGACAGATTGCCAGGCTGTCAGCGATTGCCTCCCTGAAGAAAACCTGGGAAGCATGGCCTTCCCACTGTGAGACAAAAGCACTCACCTGTGCTCGGGTTCTGGAAACAGCTGGGACAGGGAGATGCCACAGAGCGCGGCATAAGCAAAGCGGTTGGCCTCGGCCAGCTCCCGGCCAGTGGGCAGACTTGGGTTCCCCTCTGTGGCTGGCTCAGCTGCCTGAGGCTGCTGCTGAGGCAGCCTCTGGCTCGGCCTTTCCCACGTGGCCATTCCCAGCCCTGCAGGAAAAAAAAAAAAAACAGTAAGAAATGTTTCCATGGGGTAGGCAAAGATTACTTAGACAGGACACAAAAATGACCAATGGTAAAAGAAGAGATCGATAAATTAGGCTTCATTAAAATGAAGAACTTTCATTCACCAAAACAAGTCCTGGGCGGTGCAAATAATTTGTGCTTGACTATTAACCAAAAGGTTGGCAGTTCGAATCTACCCAGTGGTGCCACAGAAAAAAAGGCCTGACATTTGGAGGTGGAAATCTCTAAATACATGACTGTAGGTGCTCCTCATGTATTAATATAGACAACAGAGCACATGAGTGGCACAGTTGGGGAAATCTCTTAGACATAACTACACATCTCACAGGATGAAGTTTCCAGGCTTGAAGGCAAAGGACCATAGACTCGGGGGACATCTATATCAACTGGCACAATACAGTTCTCAAAGACAATGTTCTACATCCTTCTTTGGTGAGTAGCGTCTGGGGTCTTAAAAGCTTGCAAGGCCATCTAAGATACAACTATTGGAGAGGGAAAAATACTAATGACTCAAGGGAACAATTAGTTCAAAGGATTAAGGGACCACATGAACCACAGCCTACACGAAACCGAGGCCAGAAGAACTAGACGGTGGCTGGCTACCACTACCAACCACTCTGACTAGGATTACAATAAGGGGTCCTAGACAGAGTGGGAGAAAAATATAGAACAAATGATCAAATTCACAAAAAAGACCAGACTTACCAGTCTGACAGAGACTGAAGGAACCCCGGAGACTATGGCCCCCAGACACCCTTTTAATTCAGACTTGAAATCACTCCTGAAGTTCACCTTTCAGCCAAAGATTAGGCAGGCCTATAAGACAAACAATAGCACATGTGAGGAATGTGCTGCTTAGAGCAATCAAGTATACGAGATCAAATGGACAACACCTGCCCAGGAACAAAGATGAGAAGGTGGGAGGGACAGGAAAACTGGATGAATGGACACAGTGAACCCACGGTGGAAAGGGAAATAAGTGCTAACACAATGTGGATTGCAGCCAATGCCATGAAACAATTTGTGTATAAATTTTTGAACGAGAAACTAATTTGCTCTGTAAACTTTCACCTAAATCACAATTAAAAAAAAAAAGCAAAAGTTGAACAAGAAAAAAAAAAAAAGGCCTGGCAATCTACTTGCTAAGATTATAGTCATTGAAAACCCTATGGAGCACAGTTCTACTCTGAAACACATGGGGTCGCTGTGAGTCTTAACGGACTTGATAGCAACAGGTTTTTTTTTTTTTTTTTTTTTTTTTTTAATTCATCAAAAGACACGTTTAGGAGAATGAAAACATAATCCACAGACTAAGGGAAATTATTTTCAATATGCATATCAACAAAGGATTTGTATCTATACTATATAAACAACTCTTATTAATCATTAAGGAGCCCTGGTGGCCCAGTTGTTAAGTGCTCAGCTGTTAACTGAAAAGTCGGCGGTTTGAACCCATTGGCCACTCTGCAGGAGAAAGATGTAGCAGTTTGATTCTATAAAGATTGACAGCCTTGGAAACCCCATGGAACACCTCTACTCTGCCCTATAGGGTCACTATGAGTCAGAACTGACTCGATGGCAAAGGGAATTAATCATTAGGAAAAAGACAAATGATCCAATTTAAAAAAATGGGCAAAAGACTTTAACAGGTACTTCATAACAGATATCCAAATGACTAATAAGTATATGAAAAGGTGTTCAACGTTATCAGCCATCAGAGAAGTGGAAATTAAAACCCCAATGAGATACTACTACCACCTATCGAAATGGCTAAAATTAAAAACACTGACCAAGTGTTGGTGCTGGAGAGGATAGGAGGAAATAGAACTTTTACACACTGCTGGTAGGAGTCTAAACTGGTATAACCACTTTGGAAAACTGGTTGGCAGTATCCACTATAGCTAAACATATGCCTTCCCTATGCCCCAGTAATTCCACTCCTAAAGAAATGAGAACTCATGTCCACCAAAAGACATGTACATGAAGGTCACAGCAGCTTCATTCACAAGAGTCCCCAACCGGAAACAACCCAAATGCCCATCCACAGTAGAATGGCTAGATTGCGGTAGAGTCATACAGTGGAACATTACACAGCAATGCAAAAGAATGAGTTGCAGCTAACCACAACAACATGGATGATCTCACAGACAAAATGATAAGCAAAAAAACCCACTCACAAAAGAGTAATACTGTAAGATTTCATTTATATGAAGTTGAAGAACAGGTAAAACCAATCTACGGTGACAGAAGTCAGAAGAGTGGTTACCTCCAGGAGGGGGTATCTACTCAGAAGGGACACAGGGGAGCCTTCTGGGTCTATATTTTGACTTTGGTGATGATTAGGGAAAAAAACAAAACAAAACAAAACTAGTTGCAGTCGAGTTGACTCTGACTCATGGCGACCCCATGTTTCAGAGTAGAACTGCTGTGATCTTTTGGAAGTAGATCGCCAGGCCTTTCTTCTGAAATGACTCTGGGTGTATCCTGTCATCCGTTTAGTTAGCAGCCAAATGCTCAACTGTTTGCGTCACTGAGGGACATGGGTATAAATATATATAAAAGTTCACTGGGACATACACTTAAAATTTGTGCACTTTACTGTATGTATAGCATAGTGTCTGGAGCCCTGGTGGTGCAATGGTTAACTGCTTGGCTGCTAACTGAAAGGTCGGTGGTTTGAACCACTAGTGGCTCTGTGGAAGCCATATGTGGCAGTCTGCTTCCATAAAGATCACAGGCTAGAAAACCCTACGGGGCTGCTCTTTGGGTTGCTATGAGTCGAGATCAACTCGATGGCAACAGGTTTGGTTTCGTTTTTTAGTATGGGGTATGGTACAGGATATGGTATGGGGTATGGTACGGGATATGGTATGGGGTATGGTATGGTATAGTGTACTATATGCATAGACTGCGATGAAAGGAAGGGAGACAAAGGAGGAGAGAGGAGAAGAAGGAAGCAGAGGGAAGAAAGGAGACAGTAGAAGAGAGACAGGAGAAGAGAAGCCAAACCAGGCATTCAAGCGGTAGGAAGGGCACTGGGAGTGGGGACCCATGCACCTGGCAGTGCCAGGCCATCAGGGAAGCGTGCTAGCCTTGACTACAAGACATCAAGGATAGGAATGCAGGCTCAGAGGCCAGACAGACCTGGGTGTGAATCCAAGTACCTCTCCCTAATAGATATGGGACCTTGGGCAGGTCAACTTCTCTGCTCTCAGGTTTCCTCACCTACAAAATGGGATTGTAACAGTATCTACCTGGAAGAGCTGTGTTATGAGTAAATGAAATAGCCCATGTGGGTAAACATTTGTAAACACTTAGAATAGAGCTGGCACGGGGTTAAACCAAAACCCATTGCTCTAGCTGATTCCAACTCATAGCGACCCTATAGGACAGAGCAGAACTGCCCCATAGGGTTTCCAAGGCCGTAATCTTTACAGAAGCAGACTGCCACATCTTTCTCCCACGGAGCAGCTGGTGGGTTTGAACTGCTGACCTTTTGGTTAGCAGCTGAATGCTTAACCACTGCACCACCAGGGCTCCTTCAGTGCTATATAAATGTTTGTTAAACAAATGAAAAAATTAATAAACAAATGAAATGCTCAGTACAGTACTTGACACATAACAAAGGAGGTGTAAATAATAATAAGAGCTAACATTACTGAGCCCTTACCGGGCGCCAGGCTCTGCAAGGCAAATTCTATCATAATGTCCAGAGCGCCTGCGTGGTGCAGTTAACACACTAAGCTGCTAACCAAAAGGCTGGAGGTTGGAGTCCACCCAGAGGCACCTTGGAAGAAAGGCCTGGTGATCTACTTCCAAAGATCAGCCACTGAAAACCTTATGGAGCACAGTTCTACTCTGACATACAGGAGGTCGCCATGAGTCAGAATTGACTCAGTGGCAACTGGTTTATCATAATGTCCAGTTTACAAATGAGGAAACAGGCTCAGAGGAATACCTGGTCAGGGTCACACACCTATAAATGACAGACTGATAGACCCCAAAGCCAGAGCTCCTGGGCACCACCTGTTTTAAATACTTGTCATATTGCCAAGAGAGCTCTAGTCTAATAACCAGATTCTGCACTGTTTTTAGTCCATAGCTTTGTTCCTATCCAGTTGAACAATAAAAACTCGTGTTCTCAAAATATGATTTCTGTAGAGGAGTTTCTTAAAAACATGTCATGACTAATAATTAATTAGCTTCTTGAAACAACCCTGAGGTAGTGAATAGCAGAACATCAACATCTGTACAGCATGTGACAGTTTACAAAACACTTTACAACCCATTCAATTCTCACAACTGCCATGTAGTTAAGCAGGGCATGAACCATTATGATTCCTTCATACAACTGAGGAAACAGGCTCAGAGGCCAAGCGATTCTTCCACAGTTGCACAATAAGTTAAGTCAGATCTAAACCACATTTCTGGCTTCAAATCCCATGCTCTTTCCTCTACACCACCCCAGGGATCCTCCTCCCCTTGTTTCAGGTGGAGAAGCTGAGGCTCAGAGAGGTTAAGGTCTTGCCAAGGTCAACCCAGCAGGACTGGTATCCAATTATTGCCCCAAGAACCCAAGTTTGAGATTTGTAGTTTTTCGTGGCTCAGAGGATCAGTCCAGACCACAGGCCCTCTCCTTCCCCAGCCTGCATGGTCGAAGACAAAAGAGGACAGCTCAAACCACAAACTACAGCTGGTACCAACTACATCATCCAGCCATGATGTCTGCAGGCTCAGCAATTCCACTTCATTTAATCAGCTTCAAAAGCCATTTGGAGGCTGCAGTAATTGCACCTATTTACCCAGAGGAGCCCAAGATAGTATTTTATTGGGCTGGTATCGGAGGAGCTCCACATGAGTTCTTAGTTCAAGACTAAACAGGCTTCTAATCAAAGAAGCGTGAACTGGCTTGCCTCTAACCAGAGGAGGGAGATGTCCTCTGTGCACAAAAAGCTGAGCTCAGGCCAAATTCATTCTCTCATTCGTTTAATAAAATATATTCTTGATCCCCTACAATCCATACTCTACATAATAGACCAAGTGGCCTTTTCGTCATATACACCAAGCATGTCGCTTGCCTGCTTAAAAGCCTCTGAAGGCTTCCCATCGCACCAGGATAAATGTCAATCTCCTTATCATGGCCTACAAAGTCCTATGTGATATGGCCCCTGCCTACCTCTAAGCTCCATCTCAGATTCCATCCCACCCCCTGCCCAACTTGTTCACTACACTCAGCCACACTGATTGTCTCTGCTCTTCAAAGATACAAGCTTGTTACCACCTCTGGGCCTTTGTACCTGCCATTCTCCCTGCCTGGAACACTCTTCCCTAGATCGTCAATCCAAATGTCACTTCCTCTGAGAAGCCTTCCCTGACTGTTCAGCTAAGGAGTTTAGACTTAATTGTTAAAGCAAAGGCTGTTGGGGGGAGCCAAGTGAGGGTGCAAGGGGCCTCTCAGTACTATTAGTGTGACTTGGTATATCATTTTTTCAAAATAAAAAGTTAAAAAAAAAAAAAAGCAATGGGAAGTCTATAGTTTTAAAGACCTTTCTTAAAGTCTAAGTACATTATAAATAAATATCCACCTCCACTCCAAGTTAACCAGTTAATTAATGCAATAAACATGTTTTGCCGCCTACTATGTACCAGGCACTGTGCTACATGCTGGGGATACAGTGGTGACTAAGACAGACGACTCCCCATCATGGAAGTTATATTCTAGTGAGGGAGACAGGCAAAAAATATGTAAACTCATAAGTAAGACAATTTTAAATAATTATGAGGGCTCTGAAGAAAATGTTGCTGTTGTTAGGTGCCGTCAAGTCGGTTCTGACTCATAGCGACCCTATGCACCACAGAACAAAACACTGCCCGGTCCTGTATCATGCTCACAATTGTTATTATGCTTGAGCCCATTGTTGCAGCCACCATGTCAATCCATCTTGTTGACGGTCTTCTTCTTTTTCACTGACCCTGTACTTTATCAACTATGATGTCTTTCTCCAGGGACTGATCCCTTTTAACAACATGTCCAAACTATGTAAGACGTAGTCTCGCCATTCTTCCTTCTAAGGAGCATTCTGGTTGTACTTCTTCCAAGATAGATTTGTTCATTCTTTTGGCAGCCCATGGTATATTCAATATTCTTCACCAATACCACAATTCAAAGGCGTCAGTTCTTCTTTAGTCTTCCTTACTCATTGTCCAGCTTTCGCATGCATATGAGGCAATTGAAAATACCATGGCTGGGGTCAGGCGCACCTTAGTCTTCAAGATGACATCTTTGCTTTTTAACATTTTAAAGAGGTCTTTTGCAGCAGATTTGCCCAATGCAATGCATCTTTTGATTTCCTAACTGCTGCTTCTATGGGTGCTGATTTTGGATCCAAGTAAAATGAAATCCTTGACAACTTCAGTCTTTTCTGTGTTTTATCACGATGTTGCTTATTGGTCCAGTTGTGAGGATTTTTGTTTTCCTTATGTTGAGATGTAATCAATCCATACTGAAGGCTGTGGTCTTTGACCTTCACCAGTAAGTGCTTCAAGTCCTCTTCACTTTCAGCAAGCAAGGCTGTCATCTGCATAGTGCAGGTTGTTAATAAGTCTTCCTTCAATCCTGATGCTCCTTTCTTCTTCATATAGTCCAGCGTCCAGATTATTTGCTCAGCCTGAAGAAAATAAACCTTAAATAATACTTACCCAGATTTTGGGAAACAACTGTGGGCCTCCCCTCTCTCTTAAGTCTCAAGACAGGCTGTCTAGCTTCTCAAAGGTTCGTCAGAGAAAGATGCAAATTGCCCTGGGGGAGCAAACCAGAAAAACCAGCCTGTGGCTCCCTAGGGTGTGGGATCTGAAGGAGAGCCTACAGGAGAGAAGCTTAGGGTGAGCCTTGTTCTGCACTTCCTTTCCAGTTCCTCTACCTGGGATGACTTTCTCAGCAGACAGCAGTGCAGCCACCACTTGCTGAGTGCTCACGATGTGCCAGCCAGGGTCCTGGTACCTTGCATGGACCATCTCATTTAATGTCCCTGCTCTAACCTTTTGTACCCTGAGCTGTGGTGTGTCCAAGCTCCTTGGTTAACCTGGGCAGTATAGAGCAGGCCCTGCATCTCCTCTATATCTGTATCCTGGCCCAACCATGCACCTGCCACAGAGTGAGTGTTCAGGAACGAATGAATGGACTAGTGTTTAGGCTTCAGCAAGGGACAGATTTTTGCACTGTAGTGGCTTGTGTATTGTTATGCTGCTGGAAGCTATGCCACTGATATTCAAATACCAGCAGGATCACCCATGATGGACAGGTTTTAATGGAGCTTCCAGACTAAGACAGACTAGGAAGAAGGCCTGGCGATCTATTTCTGAGAATTAACCAATGCAAACCTTATGGATCACAACAGAATATTGTCTGGTAAGATGGTGCAGGATCGGACAACATTTTGTCTGTTACGTATAAGATTGTTAGGAGTCGGAGCCGACTTGACAGCAACTAACAACAACAGATTTTCCTTGCTATTTCTCTCTCTAAAGGCAGTCCTGTTCTTAAACTCCAATCAAGCATCAGATGGTGAAGGGAGATGGAACAGGAGCCAAGCATCTGGAATTACTCAAGGATGTCCCAGGGCCCAAAAAATCAGGGTCCCCTAAAATTTCAAATAATCTGAGCTTCATCTTAACAGCCATTTTCAATGTTAGAGAATACTATAGAATATTATTTTCCACCTCTTTAAGCCTCAGTGGGGTTTTTGATAAGTCATCAGTGATCACGCCCCCCTCTTCCCATGTCATCTTCCACCCTGAGAATGTGCCTGTATTTCTTATGCCTAAAAATTAGGGTATCCAAACTATGAGCCCAACCCTGTTAAAAAAGATAAAGAGAAGAAAAATGGTGGGAAGAACATCTTCCAAAATTATCTCTGAAAGATGAGATACCAGAGATTTTTCTGTATTTCCCAAATTTTCTGCCATAATTATGGATTACTTTTGAACTCTGAAGAGAAGTTATTCTGCATTTGTCTCTACCCATGGAGAAAGGACTATAAGAACAGGCATCAGGATATTGGCTGTGGCTGTCCCTAGAAGGTGGGGTTCTGAGTGATTTTAATTTCTTTCTTTGTATTTTTATACCTTGTGAATTTTCAATAATGAGTATTATTGATTTTAAGATCATAAAAAATACAGTTTTAAAATTATAATATGTTATACTGGAGCTGGCTCATGCCAGCTCATGAGAACCAATTCTGTGCATCTCTTCCCAATTCTACATTCAGTGATGTTGGTAGCCTGAAATTAGCCAGGGTGGGAGTATTTACACCTCAGAAATTGGCAAATACTGTGAATCAGGGCTTTGTTTGTTTTTTCAGAGACGTGGTTTACCAGCATACGCCTGGATATCCAATATAATTACAGTTATGCCTTTTAAAAATACATGACACAGAGCAAAGGTCAGAAGGAAATACAGCAAAGTGTTAACGCTCATTGTCTCTTCGTGGTGGGGCTGTGGGACTAGAGGTGATTGGTATACGTCTCTTTTTCTACATTTTTAACATTTTCTGTCACAAGCTTTTGCTTTTATAATATGAAAAATAACTTTAATTAAAAACAACAATTCTGCTCTTGACCCCTAGAACGGGAGTTCTATCTCAGAAAACCCTGTCTCCTCTGTGGCTCGGCCATGCTGGTGGGGCTGAGGGCACAGTCAAGTTCCCTTCTTTTGACCAATGGGTCTTGCCATCGACTAAATGGATAAGGGTTGGCACTACAGACAGAGGCAATTCTCAGCTATCCATGAAGGTGCGATGGAGGAGTCCACGGTTCCAATTCTATGGATCGTCCAGTTGGATGGGTTGGGACCCCAACTATTCCAGCTGGGTGGGTGTAGTGGCAGCTGTCGGGTAGGGGATGTGCCACCTAAACTGCATATACTGGTCCTGAGAAGCCACCACTCCTTGAAGGCACATCTGATTTGGGGTCAGGATCCAGTCCAAAGCTGAACTGAGACTCTTGAGTGCATCTGAGAAGCTAGACTGATCCCAAAAGATAACACTGGAGTTTGCAGTGGAAGACCCTGCAGGTCAGGGCAAGTGGAACCTCTGCACCCTGGGGTCACCAAACATTCACAGGGCTGGTCCAGCAGCATCTGGGGGGCTTAGGAGGTCACTGATAAAGGGGGGTAGCTTACTGCTGAAGTAGCTCGAATTCCTGGGGGCCTCCTGGGGACACCGAGGCAATGTGCAGATACTAAGGAACTCCAAGTAAGGCCAGCACTTGTCCCAGAAGAGCACCAGCTCTCAGGGAGCCAACTGTATACATAGTGAGAACAACCAGGGCAAACACAAGCCAATAGTTAGACTGCACAGCCCAAACCTGAGTGGACAGGAATTATTCTGAGATGGGACTTCGTTTTAATGCTCTATGATTATGATTTTGTCTAGGTGGTCACATATCTGTCAAGAAAGAAAATGCTGACTGAGTTATTTTTGTCAGTAGTGAGGATAGAGAGTCTTTCCACAAATATTTGTCCTCAGTTCTATAAGCACCCATGGGAGGTACTCAGCCAATATTTGTTGACTGACGCCATATACAATATAGTAGGATTTCTCCTTAGGGAGAGGGAAAATTCTAGAGCTAGCACTGAGGATAAAATCAAATGTGGTCAATATCCTTGGAAATCCTTTAACTTACCCTTAAAACTCTATGTTCTGGGCCATTAGAAGATCAAACACAAGAATGAACTTCTTGTATTTTTCTTTACATGCCAGCCTGGTAAGGCCTTTCTTTTCTTTGGGGCAGTCACTGAAGGCCAAGGTCAAGATTGATGTGTATGGGGTGGGGGGTGAAGGGGAGATTTCTCTTTCTCTTTTGCTGGTCAACTGATCACAGTTGAATTTGAGTAAGTTAAATGATTCTGCAGCTCAGTCAAATAAGCATTAAGACAGACCTGGCTACAGTGTCATGGGAAGGTTGAGGACTAATTGTTCTGGACCCAAGGAGAAGGAAAGGAATTTGATGGAAGAAATCCTTTGCAACAAATAGAGTTACACACCTTTCTTAGGCCAAATAGCCTAATAGCCTTTTCAGAAGGCTATCTGGCCTTTGTTCTCTGTTCTTTCTAGCAGTGCCAATACTTAAAGCTAATGAATAGGGGCTGACTTGATCAAGAGAGACAACCTGGGGGTCCAAGGCTGACTAACCTTCACAAGGCATGATGTAATCTATCATGACCATGCGGTTAGGCTGATAAAAGCCCTGAGCCCTGAGGCTCAGACGGAGCCTCCTGGTTGGTGACCATACACAGGAGAGGGTAGCACATTATTCTTTGGGACGTGGAAGCTCTGCACCGTGACCCTTCCCAGATCTCAGCCTACGTGTCTCTTCCTTTGTTTCCTTTTTGGTTGTAATAAAGTTGTAGCTGTAAGTATGGTATACTCTCTGAGATTCTGTGAGTCGTTCCAGTGAGTAAACGAACCCACAGGGGCAGTGAGAGCCAGCAGGGGCTGGTGTCTGCCTACTGGGCAGTCTGAAAGAAGGTGTCCTTCTAATATGTGAGCTCTGATCAGCTCTGAGTGGCTAGGGCTGGTGAAAAAGTGTGCTACATGAGCATCTGATGATGAGGATGAAGAAATGGAAAGGTCAGGACTGGCTCCATTTTCATATTTTGGGGACTGGATTCATGCTGATCCTTACCATGCAGTTAGCAATGAAGGTGGGGGTTTGCCTACTGGGCCTCTTGGTTAGTGCAGCTAGAAACTGTGAAGATTGTAGTTGTAAATTAAAACACACACACAACCAAAATAAGATACTTTTGAGATGGTCTTAGAAGGGAGGACCCAAAGCAGGACGAGTTTACCGCCAGCATTTTAGGAAGGAAACCTATTCCTTCTACAGCTCTATGTGGAAGTTAAATTGGAAGTTTAATGCGGCATCGCAGGGGGGGTCTCCATGGCAACACTTCTACCACAGTCCAACCAGGGTCTTGAGCTATAACATTACAGACCAGAAGAAAAAAAGGAATGTTGGCAAGGAGAAAAAGGTCCCATTCTAAGCTCACTTCAGCAGCCTGGAGGGCGGGGCTGGAGGATGAGGCAGGTGGTGTGATAAGATACCCAGGCTCTATGAGGTTTTGTCACTGACCGTTGCACCCCTCCTCTTCCGCTAGCACTCTGGTACCAGCCACGATCATCTCTCCCATGGATCATGGCACTAGCCTGCTCAACCCATCTCTCACCTTCTTTCTGCCTCACCCCTAGCCTATCCATCAAACAACATCCAGACAGCTCCATTTAGAACTAAAGTCGGATCATGTTCTGCCTCTGCTCCAAACCCTCCCATGGCTCCTTCTCATCCAAAGACAAAATCCTTACAATGGCGACTGGGCCACATGCAATCTGGCCCTGTGCCCTCTCCGCCCTCACTTCGCACTACTCTCCCCTTCACTTCCTCTGCTCCAGCCATGCTGGCCTCCTTTCTGTTCCTTGATCTCACCAGCCCTGCTCCCACCTCAAGGCCTTTGCATTGGCTGTTCCTTCTGCCAGGAACGCCCTTTCCCCCAGATACCACAAGGCCAACTCCCTCATCCCCTTCAGGTCTTTGCTCACATCTCACACCCCAGTGAAGCCACCCTGCCCCCCTGGCCTTCCATCCCAATCCCCTATATCCTGCTCCTCTGCTTTGTCCATGGCATGTACCACTGACAGACCAATCATTTACTTGTTTATGTTTATTGCTTATTGTCTATCTCCCTCTGCCCATATGTAAGCACTGTTCTTGTTGTTAGGTGCTGCTAAGTGATTTTGACTCACAGCAACCCCATGTGACAGAGCAGAACTTCCTCATAGGGTTTTCTCCAATTTTTACGGGAGCAGATGGCCAGGTCTTTTCTCCCGTGGAGTTATTGGGTGGGTTTGAACTGCCAGCTTCTTGGTTAGCAGCCAAGTGCTTAACTGTTGCACCACTAGGGCTCCTTTAAGTAAGCACAGAAGGTACTTATAAAGATTTGTTGTATGAATGGTGGTTTCCATTTGGGACAATTAAAGATAATTCAAAAGGCAATTTT